ATGAAAGTGAAAGAGGAGAGTGAAAAAGTTGGCTTAAAGCTCAACATTCAGAAAACTAAGATCATGGCATCTGGTCCCATCACTTCATGGCAAATAGATGGGGAAATAGTGGAAACCGTGGCAGACTTTATTTTTCTGGGCTCCAAAATCACTGTGGATGGAGATGGCAGCCATGAAATGAAATGACACTTACTACTTGGAAGAAAATCTATGACCAACCTAGACAGCATATTAAAAAGCAGAGACATTACTTTCCCAACAAAGATCTGTCTAGCCAAAGATATGATTTTCCCAGTAGTCTTGTATGGATGTGCAAGTTGAACTATAAAGAAAGCTGAGCACTGAAGAATTGATGCATTTGAACTGTGGTGTTGGAGAAGACACTTGAGAGTCCCTTGGACAGTAAGGAGATCCAACCAATCCTTTCTAAAGGAAATCAGTCCTGAATATTAATTGGAATGACTGATGCTGAAGCTGAAACTCAATTCTTTGGCCACCTGATGGGAAGAACTGACTCATTTGAAAAGACCCTGATGCTGGGAAAGATTGAAGGCATGACGAGAAGGGGACGCCAGAGGATGAGATGGTTGGATGGCATCACTGACTCAGTGGACATGAGTTTGGACAAACTCTGGGAGTTGATAATGGACAGGGAATCCTGGCAGGCTGCAGTCCACCGGGTCGCAAATATTCGGACACGACTGAGCGCTGAACCACAGCATGGGGAACCATTGTGAGATTCAGACTGGACGAGTGACATGATTCCTGCTTTCATCCGTTTCCCACCCCCCCTCCCTCCCGTGTTCTTTCTGACTCCAGCGCCGGCCCTGTGGAGGGACTGGGTGCAGGGGGACAGGCCCCAGGGGCCCTGAGGACGCGGCTCTGGGGACCAGGGCACTGCCTGGCGGGCCTGAGCCTGGGAAGTGCCGCAGTGACGGGGTGCTGCCCAGAGCTGATGAGACGGTGGGCATCACAGGATGTGAGGACCAGGTGGACTGGGAGCCTGGGGCCAGGGAAGGACTGGAGATGCAGGTGCCACTTACTCTTCTACCTCAGGCTCATTGTGACATATTAACTGAGAGGAGCCTACGTGGAAGGGGAGCGTCAGGGGTCTAGTGGAGAATCGCTGTGCTTAGTCGTCAGTCGGGTCAGCCTCCTTGAGACTCCATGGACTGTAGCCCACCATGGACTGAACATCCACTCACAGGACTTTCATTTCCTGCACCAGCAGAACTTCCTGACCCAGGGATCAAGTGCGCATCTCCTGTCCAAGAGGACTCATGTTGTCTGAGGAGCATTAGGTGAAGGTGTCCAGGAGACAAGTAGGAACAGAGCAGGATATGGGACGTAGGTGCTGGGAGCCGCATGCGGGATTCAACGGCCCAGCCGCGTCTGTGTGTCAGAGAGTCAGAGCTGAGGACAGAAGCTGGGGCCACGNGGACCTTTGTTGGCAAAGTAATGTCTCTGCTTTTTAATATGCTGTCTAGGTTGGTCATAACTTTCCTTCCAAGGAGTAAGCGTCTTTTAATTTCATGGCTGCAATCACCATCTGTTGTTATTTATTTTGCAGTTATGCTCTCACTTAAAATCTGAGTTAAATTAAGGGAATCTTGTTACACAAGATTTTTTAACATTGCTGGTCATGAAATTTTAAGAAATAGTGAAATAACTGAATAGAAGTTCCCCCACCCTTACTTTTTTCTCTTTCCTTTTCTCATCTAGAGACACTCACTTTCTCTGGAATCACCTGGGTGACTCACGTCACAAGAAACGAAGAGCAAGATGAGCCAGGGCCTGCTGTCCGGGACGGGGCCCGCCACCACGCAGCGTCACGGAAGGGAGCTGGGTCAATCTTCGTGAGAAACTCCAAGAACTGCCTCCTCAACTGCGAAGAGAGACAGAGTGGCTTGATCAGAACAGTCCTCAGTGGACCCTGTGTCAACGAAGCTGGCAAAATGGAACAAACAAAAACTGTGGCAAGCAGGGCTCAGCTGTTTCGAGGCCGATTTCCACCAGTCTGTCCTGCCTGGGTCGCGCCAAGACCGCCCAGCTGCTGCCGTCCTGGCGGGTGGTGCCCCGGGGGATGGGACCTGAAACAGGACCTGCTCTGCAGGGCATGGCCGTGGAGGTTTAGGAGGGTGCCAGGCCTAGTGTTCCGGGAGCGGGATGGCCTTGAAGACGTGCTAGGTTTCCCACGAAGGGCCGGAGGTTACATTCCAAAATGCAAGCCTGAAGGAAACAGACCGCGGGTATTTCTGCAGCAAAGTTGGGTTTATTCAATTCGGGGTCAGCAGGGAATTGCAGTTAAGGCTCTCTGCCGTGGCGGCCACGGGCAAGTCCCCACCGGCAAGGGAAGGCTCAGCTTCCAGAGGGGGGCCCCGGGCCGGGGCGGGCGGCACACGCAGAGCCTGGGCCGAGCCCGGGCGGGAGGGAAGGGGACTCTCCCTGCCCCGGTGGGGCTCCGCGGGGGCTGCAGGGCGAGAGCGCCCCCTGCTGGTTCCCTGGCGCTTTACCTAGGGTTTCCCATCATTAATGCTTCCCAGGCCTCCGGACGAAAGCCAAAAGGGACGCGAGATACGCATTTTTCCTTACTCCTGCTTGGGGAGGGTGCTCAGAACATTTTCCTTCTTTCTAAAGAAAGCAAGCAGTTTCAGCACATTCTAGGTGTCCCTCCGCCCTAGGTCGCCCACCCGCCAGCCCCTCATCAGGAGGGGACAGCGCAACGGGGGAGGGAAGTGCTCTGCCTTCCGCCTCTGGGCCGCCCGCCCCTCCCCTCCAAGTCCCTGCAGCGCACGCATTGCGCCCCCTTCCAGAGCCCCCCTGACGCCAAAGGCAACGTGAGACCTGCCTGTGAGCCGTCTGGGCCACGCGGCCGGCCAAGCCTGGGGCTCCTCTGCAGAGCCTTCTCAGATGACGTGATGATTGCGCCTCAGCTTTAACGACTTTTTACCTGAACACCCAGAATTCATGAGATGGCCACGGTGACACCACCAGCCGGTGAGATGAGGATTTCATTCATTCCACAGACTTTTTTTTTATGTATAACTTACAGAACTTCTCTTGTATTCTTTTTCATTTCACTTATTTATTTACTCAGCCGCATGGAGTCTTCGTTGCTGTGTGCAGGGTTGCCCCTGAGGTGTATGGGGTCTTAGTTCCTCAGCCAGGGGTTGAACGTGCGTCCTCTGCATTGGAAGGCAGACTCTTCACCACTGGACCCCCAGGGAAGGCCCTCTTCCACAGCCCGCTATCGAGCACCTGCTGCAGGCCAGGAGCTGCACTGGGGTCTGGGGACGTCATGGTAGGAGACACAGTCCCAGCCTCAGGATACCAGATAGATATTGTGAGATAGTAGGAAAAAATGTGATTCATGTCTGCCACCAGCCCCTGGCACAAAGTCCCTGAAACGCTGGTAATCTTCTAAGTGATAAGAAACTGGGAGTGTCTTTTGTTCTAGAATTTGGTCTCTGACCCCATATGCTGACACGGAGCTCCTGAAACCCGTGTACTTTCCTGGGTGATGGGAGTGTCTTCGGTTCTCATGAGATGACTCTGGGTGGACCTCCTGTATGAGGGCTGCTCCCCAGAAAGACCAAGCCGTGATGAAAAGCTTGAAAACTTCAGCCTCACCCCTCCATTCTCTTGAGAAGGGAGAAGGTCTGAAAATGGAGTTAATAATTGATCAAGCCTCTGTACCTAAAATCCGAATAGTGTGGGGCCTGGAGAGCTTCCAGGTGGGCGGACACATCCACACGGGGAGGGGTCGCACCCTAAGTCCACGGGGACAGAGACTCTCAGGACCCACCCAGCAAGTTAATCAAACCTGAGAAGGGGGTCGTGGGAACCTCTGATTTGTCGTCATATCAGACAGAAGTTCTGCGTCATCTGCGACAGGCTGGCACTTGTGGGACAAGGGAGCGGCCTTGTGGGACTGAGCCCTTAGCCTCTGGCATCTGACCCTGTCTTCAGGTACGACTTAAGCGAGGATGCCCAGCTGGTGCCCTGAGAACTGACTGGAATGGGAAGGCCTCCCACACGTTTCGTCACCAGAAGAGTCAGCAGGGAGCTGCTTTGTGTGAGGAATAGGGAGAGAGGCCCTGGAGGGGGGAACTGGGCGCTCCTCCATTTGGGAAAAGACTGAACTGAGGTTTTTCCTCCCACAGACATGCAAATAAATGGCATTTGACGTGGTGTGACCTAGCAACTAAACCGCAGTGCTGTGATGACGCTGCGTTTGAGGGGCAGTGTGAGTAGACACAGCAAGAAGCCTAGCTGGAGACTCAGCGAGGGGGTCCCAAACCCACGGCCCTCAGGGGAGATGTGAAGGGGGGAGGAGCCCAGAAGAGCACGGAGGAGGGGCTTCCAGACCAGCGGCGGGGAGACGAGAACGCGCACGTGACCGGGGAGCGGCGGGAAGACGAGGACGCGCACGTGACCGGGGCGCGGCGGGAAGACGAGGACGCGCACGTGGCCGGGGAGCGGCGGGAAGACGAGAACGCGCACGTGACCGGGGAGCGGCGGGAAGACGAGAGCGCGCACGTGACGGGGCGCGGCAGGAAGACGAGAACGCGCACGTGACCGGGGAGACACAAGTTACTCCTGCCGGGCCACAGACACGAGGCCGTCCGCGCCGGACGACCACGAAGGGCCTCGTCTGTCGGGCCTACACAGGTGTGTTTTATCTGACGGGCTGCAGGAGTCCCCGGACAATTCCGAGTGCCGGGGTCTCTCAGCGGAGTGGTGCGTCGGGAAGATGATAGCAGCGCAGCGGGTGGGGGCGGAGGCTTCCTCCCTGGGCACGGGGCATCCGGGGCATCCGCGCAGCGATGCTTCCGAGGAAAGGCAGCAGGTGGTGCGCAGGGCCGTGCCTCGGGCACGGGGCCTGCAAGGAGAAGCTGGTGAGGGTGGCCTGGTCAAGTCTCGGGGGTCGCTGGAAGGAGGGAGAGGAAGGAGGCTCCAGCGGGACTTTCAGACTGCTGACACACCATCAGGTGAATGTCGGAGACACTACACTGAACGTGTTTCACTTCTCCCTGGGAACAAAAGGCGTTAGCAGAGCCTGATCCTTATCTTCTGTTCCTCAGGTCACTAAGGAAAAACACAGGCAACGTACATTGGCACTGAGGCAGAACATGTAACATCAGCATAAGAGTCTCCACTTAAAGCCTCTTTATTTAAAAAGCCCAATATGAATTAAAAATGCACACATATTTTATTTTGAGCAGTCTTGAGACTGCTCAGATCATAGCTTATAATTGGTAGGGCTTTGCTCCTAAACACTTCCTTATTTCAGGTTTAACCAGAAAGAAGTAGTTACAGAAGTGAGAACGAATGAACCAGTCTCCCTGGAACACAGTTCCCATAAGGGCAGGAGAAGCAGCTCATTTAGAGCTTAGGTGAGAAAGAGTCAAAAGGAAGATTGAGTAGAATGCTAAAATTTTTTGAAATTATTAATAATTCTACAATTATTTACACTTTTAAAATTATTAATTTAAATTAATGTTATCAGTTTAAAATTCATGAAGCTTTTAAAATTAGTAATACTTCTACAAGCGACAGGAAGACATTCACACTTTTTGAGTATTGTGTGACAAGGAAAAGCAATAATTTAGAAAGCATAATTGCCATAATATTTGGAATAACCAGAATATAGGAAAGTCTATCGCAGGAAATAAATTAAGAAACTGTTACATCATTATGAGGTAGTATGGGCCTGAATTAAATTATACATAATTCTTAACTACTCAGGTTCCCTCACTGACTCCCCACAAACCAAATATCTCACTTTAATGTTAAGTTTTTTTAAAAAGGAAAACCTCCCAACAAATTCCAGGACCAGGTAGCCCATTGGTGAATTCTCATACTAACCCTTCTCAAATTTTTACAAGAAATTAGAGAAGGGAGGACTTGTGAACTCATAGGCCAATACCAAAGCAAGACATAGACATCATGGGAAAATAAAATTATTGTCCTAAAATTATAGGACAATATTCCTTATGAATATTGATACAAAAGCCTCAGCAAGATACTAGCAAATTGCATCCAACAAGATATTAAAAGGATTACACATCATGACCAAGAGGGACTTAGTTCAAGAATATAATGGTGACTCAACGTAAGAAAGTCTATCACAGTCACACATCGAATGAATAGCATGAAGGAGAAAAAAAAAACACACGATCATTTTGTGAAAACAAATGAAACCTCATCTAAAACATCTATGGTCAACTGATTTCATTCAGTGGGGGATGAATGTTCTCCTCCGTAGGTGATCCTGGACAACTGGATTTCCACACTCAAGGATGAAGTTCTCCCCTTACAAAAATAACTCAAAATTGATCAAAAACCTAAATGTAAGAACTAAACTATAAAACTTTTAGAAGAAAACATAGGAGTAAACGTCCAGGACCTTTGGACTTGGCAATGGGCTCTTAGATACGACACCAAAATTCAAGACAAAAACAAAAAAATAGATAAATTGGATTTCATCAAAACTGAAACACTATATGTGTCTAAGGACATTATCAAGAAAGTAAGAGGCACCGGAAACCAAGCTTGAATTAAGGGCCAACCATGATGTACACAGGCACAGGAGTGCTGCATACTCACTACTCTGAGTCACGTTCACGTGGGTCACAGGCTACTCCAGCCCAATGAGGTGGCGGAAATCTTCCTGTGGTTCTCGCTGCTGTTTGCTGCTGTCTGCAGTGCTGAGCAGGTAGAGAACTGCACATCTCAGCACACCTTCAATGCTCAGCTCCTTTAGAAACAGACTCTACTGTTATAGGGAACGTGGTTTTGGCTTATGCTTTTTTTTTTAACCTTATGAGGAATGAACAACCTGCCACGTCCCTGCACCCCCTTTCAGCCCTATCTCTGGGGACACTTATCTTTAATTCATTATCAGAGTGTAAGGTGGGCTCTGGAGCCAGGCTGCTCTGCATCTTTACTAGACTCTTTGGGCCCCAGTTTCCTCATCTGTGAAATGGAACTAACAATAGAAAACTGCACTATGGTACTGCTGCTGGGACTAAGTCAGCTAATCCACATGAAGACCACAGTGCACCGCGAGCACTAGGTAAGCGCCATGTTAGTGCTAACGGCACGACCCCACACTCTTCTTATTTCTGGTCATTACCCAGAAATATCAAGTGCCCTTCTAGCTTGTCCTTGAATAGCGGAGACTTACTCAACTCACATCCTCTCATCCAACATTCATCACGGAGTCACGAAGTAGTAAGACAAGTCCTGGAACAGAATTCTGCTTAAATATATTTGCAATTCCAGAGGTACAGTCTTGAAAGTGCCCTTTACTTCTAATTTTTAATCAAACTTTCTCCCACCATAGGTCACTGTGTACTGTGAGAACCTAATATCTCTATTCCCACAGATGTAAAAACACTCTGATTGGTTTGGGGTAGAAACAGGGAGTTTAAGATTTGCTTGGGTCCAAGTACATGCAAAAGTAATTTCAAAAAGCATGTTGAATTTGTCAGTATTTGGTTGTCAACTAACTGCTGAATTGTTCAGTTGCTCAGTCATGCCCCACTCTTTGCGATCCCATGGACTGCAGCACGCCAGGCTTCCCTATCCTTTACTATCTCCTGGAGTTTGCTCAAACTCATGTCCCTTGAGTCGATGATTTAAAATAAGTTAAAATATGAGATGCCTGCATTCTTGTTTTTTAATGAGTCAATTATTCATGGCATGACTGGCCACTTAACATCAAAAACCTATTTAGTCACAGAGTTTTTTACTTGAATCTGGTCTCTAGATTACCATTTTGTTGGGACATTATCCACTTACAATTTATTAATGAAAAAGCCAGTTCATTACATGTTGCCATTAGAATTCCAGCCACAGCTTTTAAGGAATCAAGATCAATGACTCTTGACAAGCAGTAGGTCTTCCCAAAATACCACAGGAAGTAAAAGTTCTCAGAAACCAGGGGTTTTGTAAGGAAATCATCATAATAGCTAATTTCCTAACAAAACTTCCCGGGTCAATGTCTTCTAGCTACATTTGAGGAAAGCCACTAGATTGCTTCTTGAGATTTCAGGGTTTGGATGATCTTCAAAGGGAGACAAGGGACACCCTCAAGACATCTGCTCACCCTGAAATGTCCAAAGAGACCTGAAAAGACTCAGCCAGCCAGTCTGTTCTCTGAGCAAAGACAATGCCTCCAAACCATCTTCCAAGTCTTTTCCTTGGGAACTCAGCAGCAAGCTAGAAGTAGCTACAGGAGGGAACCAAGAAAAACTCTGGTTAAATTTGCTTTTAGAGGAATAGGACCCCCCCCCAAAAGTGAAAGGCAACCTACAGAATGGGAGAAAATACTTGCAAATTATATATCTGATAATATCCAGACTATATCAAGAACTCCTAGTATTCAACAACAAATGGACAAACAACCCAATTAAATAATGGACAAGGGATTTGTATAGCTATTTCATCAAAGGTAAACAAATGGCCAGTGAGCCCAAGAAAAGATTCTGAACATCATTAGTCACCAGGGAAATGCAGTAATGCAGAACAAAGCCAAAATGAGACATCAGGAAAAACATTAGGACAGCTAAAACAATAACTAAAAAATAAAGCCACATAACAAATGCTGACGAGAATGCGGAGCAATCAGTCGGGATGTCAAACAGTGGACATGGCATGTTCGTCTCTCAGGCTCATGTCTCACTCTTTGGCTTCGTGGACTGTAGCCAGTCCACAGAATTCTCCAGACAAGAATCCTGGAGTGGATTGCCATTTCCTACTCCAAAACAGTGCAACCACTGTGAAAACCAGTTTGGCAGTTCCTTAAAAAGCAAAACAGTTACTATATGACGCAGCTATTTCACTCCTTGGTACACACCCAAAAGATTTTTTAAAAGGGACTCAAGACACTTGTGCACCAACAATTACTTTAGCATTATTCACAACAGCCAAATGACCCAAGTGTCCATCCACCTGTGAAAGGTTAAAACAACATATGAAAGGATGAAGTGTGGTATAAGCATTAAATGGAATATTATTCAGCAGTAAAAAGGAATGAAGTTCCGATACATGTTATGATATGGATGAACCTTGAAAACATTATGCTAAGCAAAGAAACCCAGACAGAAAAGGCCCCCTGTTGTATTATTCCACTTGTATGAACTATCTAGAATAGGCAAATTCATAGAAAGAAGAAAGATTATCAGTACAGAACCTGGGTGGAGTGGGGAGTTTGGAGTTACTGCTTAAGGATTAGTGAGTTTCTGTTTGGGGTGACGAAAAATTTTCAGAAATAAAAATAGTGACATTGCATAGCATTATGAATGCAATTAATGCCACTGAATATAATTAATGCCATTTACAATGGTTGAAATGACAGATCTTTTGTTACACAGATTTTACCACCAAAAAAAAAAAAAAAAAGATTAACTAGACAGACTTCCCTGGTGATCAGGGGATAGGATTCCACATTCCCAATGCCGGGGGCCAGGGTTTGGTCCCTGGTGGGAGACTTAGATCCCACATGCCCAGCCAAGACCCAATGCTGCCAGAGAGAGAGGTGGATAAATATACTTATAAACACAACCTGAGTTCTCAGGAAGTTTGTTTCCTAAAAGAAGGTGGATGCTGTTCGTAGAGGAAAGAAAAGCCATTAAATAAAACCAAAAGGAACTACTTCTCTAGGAAAACGTTCAAGCTACTTCGATAGTCTTAAGGTAACCCTCAATATTAATTTTCATCTGAAACACAAAACAAGGGGCAGCTGGGGGAAAGAAGTATGCAGCTGGCTTAACTGCCTCCGCCCCCCCCCCCGGAAAGCCTAAGCCTGTTTCTCCACTGCAAGGGGTGAAATGAACACTCCACTCATGACCCTTAGAGGTCATGCTTGCTGTTGATGCTATATCTACATATATCATTTTAATAGCACCGCCTCCTCTTTAGGCTCACAGTAGGAATCTCTTGTTTGCAGTAAATGCGAGATTAGCAGGGAATGATATTTCTCTTCGCCAGACGGGCCCCTATCCAATCCACCGCTGGCGGATTGGGTCTTTCACCATCCTGAAGACCCAAGCGAGGGCCGGCTAGCTGACCTTGCCCGAAGGGCGACGTCCCTTTCACACCTGCGATTCCCGCGCGCGGCCGCCAGATGGTGCTGCCGCGTCGCGGACTAGGATCAAAGCGGGGCTGGACCTAGAAGCTCCGCGCACCTGAGTTTTCAGAGGCGGGGTCGCACCTTGGTCTCCCTTCCGGCCCAGCACTTCCACTCCCACACCAGGGAGTAGACGGCTCCCGGGCTGGTTGCCTGCGGCTCCACGGTCACCGGGTCTTCCCACCACCGGGAGGTCTGGCTCTCTTCCTCATTGGTCCTCACAGCATCCTGGTGGCTCAGTGGTAAAAAAAATCTGCCTGTCAAGTGGGAGATGCAGATTCCATCCCTGGGTTGGGAAGATCCCCTGGAGGAGGAAATGGCAAACCAATCCAGTATTCTTGCCTGGGAAACCCCAGAGGAGCCTGGCAGGCTACACAGTTCATGAGGTTGCAAGAATGGAACAGGACAGCATAAACAACCACAACCTCAGGGCACCAAAGACGTGAACAACCCCCTCCCAAGGGACAACAGCGTCAGTCACCCTCCTTGGAGGTTACCCCAGAGTCCCTGCGTCCGCCTTTCTTAGTTGCAATCATTTCACGTGACTCAGAGATGATTTGCGGACATCATCACAGTCAGACAAGAAAGAGGGAAGAAAACTAAACCACATCTCACCTTTGAGGACGTTCTGGTACATTTGGAAATTCCTCTACAACTTTTCCCTCAGCTAAAGGTTAGTCTAAAATGAAAACGGCCCCCAGCACCTCACAGGCTCACAAGACAAGGTGGCCTGTCCACTGCTGGCACAAGGGCATGTCACACATAGAGAGGCCGTGTCCTCACCATGAACCCAAGAAAGACAGCAGCCTCGGACAGACCAACCAGACGCTGATGTGGGAACTGCAGCTGCAGCTGTTTGCATCAGGAAAGTTATGCTCGAAGGGGAACCAGCCTTCGCTCTCTAGGCCCATCCTAAAGGTGAAAGAGTTAGTGGCTCTGTGGTGTCCAACTCTTTGCAACCCCATGGACCTTCTGTCGATGGAATTCTCCAGGTAAGCATCCTGGAGTGGGTTGCCATGAACATCTCCAGAGTATCTTCCCGACCCAGGGACCAAACCTGGGTCTCCTGCATTTCAAGCAGATTCTTTACCATCTGAGCCACCAGGAGAGCCCCAAGGGCCATCCCGGGACACCAGAAATCAAGGCAGAGTTTGGGAGGGTCCTCGAGTGAGTCCCAATGGCAGGGGGTCTACAGATGAGGTGGTGCAGGCCAGAAAGTGCTGGGAAGAGGGGAAAGAGACAATTGGCCCAAAGTGCCCACCAGCAGCCCTCCCCCACACGTCTGCAGGCTCCAGTTCGGTGCCTCTCTGCCCTCCAGGGATCTCCTTGGCCTTGAAGCTGCCTGTGTGCCCTTCACCCCCAGCCTGCCCAATAAGAACGTCGGGCCAGACCACAGAACAACGCCACCGCCGGAACGATCACACACCGCACATTCCCATCAGCACAAGGTCCCTCTTAGAATAACACCCGCCCACCAGAAACCCGGCAACCACTAACCTGTTCTCCGCTTCTAGAATCTCATCTCAAGAATGTTACATAAACGTGATCGTTCGGGGGAACCCTCGAGGATTGGCGATTTTCATGCAGCGTGATTCTCTGCAGATTCGCCCCGGCTGCTGGGACCCCGATCGTTCATCCTTTTGACGGCTAAGTGTTCTGACCCTGGGTGGCCCTAGGGGCGGACGCGGCGGGAGGGGCGGACGCGGCGGCCCTCCTTCCCAGAACTGCCATCCCTTCAGCCGCCGCGGCGCGGAGCCACCGGGCCCGACTCCGAGGGACTGGGACAGGGCAGGGGCGGGGCGAAGGGCGTGTGGGCGGGGTTTATGCCGGGGCGTGACGCCAAGCGCGAGGTGAGGTCCAGACAGATCGGGGGCGGGGCTGCGCTCTGGAGAGAGGCGGCGATGGGCGTGGCCTCAGCGTTCGTGGGCGGGCCGTGGGCGGGGACCCCCGGCCGAGTCCCAGCGCCCAGCCCCGCGGAGCGCGGCCGCATTGTCCTCTCGCGACGCCTGCGGGTGCGTAGTCCGCGCGGCGGGAACGTGGCGTGGACGCCGGACGTTCAGTCTCGTCCTGCCGCTCGTCTCGGGCGTTTTGGCCGAGGTGAGTGTCCGCGCTCGCTGGGGGCCGCTTCCCAGGGCCAGGGTCTCCGCGGGCTCCCACCCCCGCGTGCCCGAGCTTCCCCCCTGCACGTGCGAGGCCTGGGGCGCAGGTGTGCGCAGGCCCGTCGCTGCCCCCAGCCGCTGCCCTCCGCCCTGAACTCGGCCCGCGCTGACCCCACGCTCGGACGGGAAGCGGGCCGCCTGGGGTCAGTGAGCGGGCGGCGCGGGGACTCGGCCTGGGCCCTCGGGGTTCCGGCTCGGCCTTTGCCCCGGGTGCCAGGACCCGAAACTCAGCTTCTCCAACCTTAGTCCCTGAGAATCTCAGCCAGAAAATCCAAGAAGAGGGAAGGGTATTCGGTGTGTGCTTCCTGCGCTGCTGTTTATGGTTCTGGGGGGATGGAGGGAAGACAAGGAGAGGAGCAGTCGAGGAGGATGGAACTAAATAGTGTGCATAAAAGGTGTCAGCCGGTTTGGTGTGGTATGATACATGCAGTTTAACAGCCGCACGCTTCTGTTTTCCTGTCGGCCTGGTGAGTGCGCCCTCTCCACGGAAGGAGACAGCTCTACCTGCTGTGGAGCAAGGTCAGTTAGGGAAGCGCAGGACAAGTGACCTGCTTCTTGGGCCTCAGTTTCTCATTCCGTACAACTAGGAGAATTGGACCCCACGAGGAGTGAGAACTCCAAGGCCTGCAGCGGCCTGGCAGGTGATGTAACTAGGTACCCTGGACCAGGCAGAGCGGTAAGGGGATGCCTCCCCCGCTGACGTCACTGAAATGAAAGCTTTTCTTCCCAAACCAGAGTGTCTTTGGGCCCTGACCCCGGAGATCTCAGGACCAGATGCTCCCTGAGTCTGCAGCCCATCACTCTCCAGACATGTTCCAGGGGCTTCTGCTAGGCTCAGGATAAAGTCTTCACCCCTGCACTACTGACCCACCCACCCCTTGGACCAAATTCCCCACCATCCAGCTCTGTTGTATCCGCATGTCCACTGTGTAGGCTCTCTGAGCACCCCAGGCCAGTCCCAACGCTGCCTCACGCTTGCCGTTCCCCCTGCCTCAACCTGCCCACTTCCACACGAGCTGCCCACCGAGTCTCCCTACCTCCCTCAGCATTTGTTTCCTCTTCTAGGTTGTTGGCATCACTGAGAGTGACTGTGCCTGAGAGCTCAGGGCCCCCTGCACCCAGGACTAACAGCACACCCTCCTCCCAGCAGGATTCAGAGAGAAAAATACCCATCTTCCTGGGACATGGCAGGTGACTATTAGCTATGGGGGAGTAAAACTTTGTTAAATGAAAAATTTATTAGAAATTGAATACTTTGTTATAAAAACTCCAGACAACACTCGTGTATAAAACTTGTTTATAGTGTGGACTGCAACCTGGAATTTTCTTGTTTTGTATTTTCTTACTTGTTTTATTGTTCATTTTAGCCCCGACAAAATAGAATGCTTATCTTGTCTTTGCTTTGCCTCCAGCCTCTGGGATGACCCCCTAGGACATAATAGCTGCTCGATCAATAGATACTGAGTGAGCCCCGAGAGTGACTGTGGTTAGAAATACTGCATGACACATGCATCCCACTGTGACATCTTTTTGTTCAACACTATAGCATGAAAATCCTTGCATTTCATAAGATAAAAATTCATGTTATTTTATGCACATGTTGTACATTAGGGTTTTTCAACTGCGGCACTGCCGACATTTGGGGCCAGAGAGCGCTCTGTCGGGGGGCCTCTCCTGTGCTGTGTCCTGCAGCAGCCTGGCCCTCTGTCTCCCACATCCCAGCACGCTCCCTCCAGATGCTGTGAAACACCCCCTGGGAGGCAACAGTCTCCCGGGTTAAGGACCATCAGTGTGGCTATTTCATTTGTATCCTGTTTCCTGTTAAGCCCCCAAGTTCCTTTATAACAAATGAGCCTGAGAAGTTAAAACTGTTAATCATTAATTTCAGTCATGCAGTTCAACCTTTACACCCTGCTGAGTGCCCCAAAGCTGTTTGCTTCAAACTAACATTTATATTTTCTCAAGGGCCTAAACAGAATAATATAGATCAAGAGTTTAAATATTTTGGTCTTAAGAGGTTCCCACGGAAAATTTAAACACATCCCCACAGCTTCCTTCTGGAAGGAACTGGTACATGACCTCGGAGAATGTCCTGGAGGACAGTGTGGCTTCAGAGACTGTTGGTATGAATGGCACTGGGTGGGGCCTCTTGTCAGGCTCTCCACCGAAGCCAGGCTTCATGCAGACCCTGCCTCCCCCCAGGACTCATATCTGATTTTTTTTTTTTTAATATATCTTATGTGTCAGTTTTCAGTGGAGAGGAAGGAAACAGAGCTGTGTGTCAGCGACTGACCTGCCGACAAGAGGTTAGCACGAAAGATTAGTCACAGTAGTTTCTAATTCTGATCTTAGGCAACACGGCTAAAACATCTCATAGTGGATAACCAGAACATGTTGGGCTTTAAAAGAATGCATTCGTGTTATTCCTGGGGATCGTAACTCGACTCCTGGGTCAGTAAACCCAAGTAGTGGTGAACTGATAGAGCTAGGTTCTTAGGATGCGCAGTTTTGCGGCTGTCTCCCGTAAACAGTGTTGGTCTTTCTCACCTAGCCTCAGCCCTGTGTGCCTCCTGTCATCAGCTTGGTCCTTGTTCAGCTTTGACAGAGGGGAATTCTTCAAGAGAAATGGTTTCTTGTCTGGATTTAGGTAAGAAAGTGCTCATCGTCTACGCACACCAAGAGCCCAGGTCTTTCAACGGGGCCCTAAAGGACGTGGCGGTGGCTGAACTGAGCCAGCAAGGCTGCAGCGTCACCGTTTCTGACCTCTACGCCCTGAACTTTGAGCCCAGGGCCACGGGGAAGGACATCACTGGTGAGTCATAGATGCTCTGTGGTTTTTTGGGTTTTTTTTTAACTTTCTTCTTCTTGTGTGTCTTTTCTCTGAGGTACAGTTGACATCACTTTGTATTGCTTCAGATGTGTAATGTAAGGATATGAGGTTTGTATCCATTGCACAATGATCACAGTAAGTCCAGTTGACGCTCGTCACCGTCACCGCACACAGTTCCGCTCCTTTTCCCTCTTGATAAGGACTTTCACGATCCCGTCGTTGGGACATGTTGTGGTCTTAACTGCAGTCAGTGCACTGTGTGTGACAGCCTGGGGCCCACACTTTGCTCTTCTGACCCTCTTCGTCCATGTTGCCCAGCCCCCACCTCAGCAGCCACCTGTCTGCTTTCTGTATTCCCAAGCTCACTTACTTTTTGTTTAGTTTGGTGGCGGAAGTGGCCATTTGCTTATTAACATTCCACCACTCTCCCATGTGTGAGATCATAAAATATTTTTCTTTTTCTGCCTATTTGATTTAGCAACGCCCTCCAGGTCTGTCCATGTTGTGGCACATGGCAGGGTTTCCTTCTTTATGACTGAACGATAATCCCACTGTGCGTGTATCACATTCCTTACCCACTGACGGGCCCGCTGTGCGTATCACATTCCTTATCCACTGACGGCATTTAGGTTGTTTTCATCTCTTAGCTATTGTGAATAATGCTGCAGTGAACACAGGGGTGCAGGTTCCTTTTTGAACGACTGTGTCCCTTTGCTTCGGGTAAATACCCAAAAGTGGGATTGCTGGATGGTAGTTCTGTTTCCAGCCTGGGGGACCCTCCACACTGTTTCCCATGGGGGCTGCACTTTGCACCAGCTGCACGCGGGTCCACTCTCGCCCACGTCCTCCCCAGCACTGGCTGTCTGGTCTCAGTGGCGGCCGTCCTGAGCAGCGTGAGGTCGTATCTCTCCGTGGCCCTGCTGTGGTCCCTGATGGTCAGTGATGTTGCGCATCTGTTCACGTGCCTGTTGGCCATCTGTGTTTCCTCAGAAAGACACCCGTTGGAATCCTCTGCCTGTTTTAAAATCAGATCGTTAGGAGTTTTTTTGCCTTCTTGTAATTTTTTTAATTAAAAAAAAGTGTTTGTAAACAAAACTCATCACTGCGCGTGATGTACAGTTCTCATGTCAAAAAGGTCTGCGGTGCATGACTTTTCCCGCACGCCCAGCCACCTGGTTTCTCTGCTTCCAAAGGAACCAGGGTCTCCCGCCACCTCTGCATCTTTCTGGGGTGACTTTGTGCTGTCTCTGGGTGTACCTAAAGCAGTCAGCAGTTTAATGACTCTTCTCTCTGCCTTTTAAACATGGGAACATGTGTTCCCATGTGTTGCTTTGCGTGTTGCTTTCTCTTTTTCTGTCTCAGAACCCCCAGCTGTCTCAGAACCCCCCGCAGTCTCAGAACACCCCCCTGCTGTCTTAGAATTCCCCAGCTGTCTCAGAACCGCCCCCCGCTGTCTAAGAACCCCCAGCTGTCTCAGAACCCCCCACTGTCTCAGAACCCCCTGCTGTCTCAGAAGCCCCCACTGCCTCAGAACCCCCCGCTATCTCAGAACCCCCTGCTGTCTCAGAACCCCCCCC